AGAAAGAGGGAGACACAGAATCCGAAGCAGCCTCCAGCCTCTGAGCTGTCAGCACAGAGCCCGACGCAGGGCTCGAACTCACGAACCAGGAGATCATGACCCGAGCTGAAGTCAGATGCTTAACTGACTGAGCTTGTGTTAATGTTTAGATTCCAAAATTTCTGTGCCTAGCCCGACAGCACAGTTGAGCTGAACTACGGCAGTGTGTTTCTAACTGTGTGGAAACTGGCTAGACATTTCCCCTCGCTTGTCCTGGTGGTACCCGTGACTCAGTTTCCCCAAACGGAATGCACTTGCCAACATCCCTTCAGATCAGATCCCCATTCTGCCCTCCCAATTTCTGCCCCCAGTGTCACACTCCCAGGTGGCACCTCTCCCCACACACCCAGTCGTCAAGTCCAATTAAGGTTTCTCTGTCTGTCCCTCCCCTCATCTCAAATGACAATAGCAAAACCTCTGAAATCGCTCAATTAAAAACAGAACCACCCTATGATCCAGTAATCGCACTACTGAGTATTTATGCAAAAAACACAAAAACACCAGTTCAAAGGGATACATGCGCCCCTATGTCTATAGCAGCATTATTCACAATAGACAAATTATGGAAGCAGCCCAAGTGTCCAACGATAGATGAATGGATAAAGAAGAGGTGGTGTGTATATATACAGTGGAATATTATTCAGCTGTAAAAAAGAATGAAACCGTGCCGTTTGCAATGACGTGGATGGAGCCAGAGAGTACTATGCTAAGTGAAGTAAGTCCATCAGAGAAAGACAAATACCATTTGATTTCACTCATATGTGGCATTAGAAAGAAACAAACAAAAACAAAGGCAAAAAAAGAGAGACAGAGAGAGAGATACAAACGAAGACACAGATTCTTAACTATAGAGAACACACTGATGGTTCCCAGCGGGGAGGAGGGGTGGGGGAAACGGGTGATGGGGATTTAGGAGTGCGCCTGTCGTGATGAGCACTGGGTGATGTACAGAACTGCTGAGTCACTATATTGTACACCCGCAACTAATACTAACGCTGTGTGTTAACTATACTGGAATTTAAAATAAAATAACACTAAAAAGACAAAAACATCACTCACTTAGGTTCAACCCCCCAGTTTTATCATTTACAAGCTGGTTAACTTGCATAGCATTCAGCCTGTGGGCTCTGGAAGCACAAGGCAAAGCCGTCAAATGACCACATGGAATTGGGATGGCTTCCACAGGCAAGGGAGAAAATTCACGAAGATAAAAGATTTGCACATCCACCTATGTTCTGATGGAACGCGTGTATTTCTCCCACTATTCTCGCCTGTGCTATCAGGTTCGGTATTAGGTTTATTAACAATATCTTTCTCTTATACAGAAAACCACCGTATAGCACTCACGACACGTAAATATCAACACTAGGAGGAGGAGTGATGCATTATTCATTCAGCTTCTCTGAGGTCCTGATTTGTATGTTCACATTTAAAACGTATCTTGCACGGTGGAAAGTGGAAGCAAATCTATATAGGATGGTCGACTGATAGTTTACGCCAAAAAAAAAAAAAATGGTAGCTGCTACGGTCATCATTTCCTCGTACCTGTGCTAATTACTATAACTCTAACCAGCCAATCGTTCTGAGCACGTGCACATGGAGGAAGCCATCTCTGGGGGACTCTGCCAGATGGCACATCACATCTGGACTGTGCTTTGTCTGGGGCCAAGCCAACTCCAGATCTACCTGACCCAAGCTCCCATCCTAAGGTAAACTATTTTTTTATTAAAACAATTTTTTTAAACGTTTATTCATTTTTGAGAGACAGAAAGAACGGAGTGTGAGCTGGGGAGGGGCAGAGAGAGAGGGAACCAGAATCCAGAGCAGACTCCAGGCTCTGAGCTGTCAGCACAGAGCCCGACGCGGGGCTCGAATTCACCGACCGCGAGATCATGACCTGAGCCGAAGTCGGACGCTCAACCGACGGAGCCACCCAGGCGCCCCTAAGGTAGACCACTTTTAAGAAAAATCATTTTTATTGTGGTTAAAGATGTACAGCATACATTTTTACCATTTAATCACCTTTAAGTATGAAGTTCAGTTGGGGTCGGTACACTCATGCTGTTGTGCAAATATCACCACTATCCATCTCCAGAACTTTTTCCTCATCGCAAACAGAACCTATGTATCTGTTAGACACCAACTCCGCATACTCCTCTCCCCAGCCCCTGGTAGTCGCCATTGGACTTTCTGTCGCTTTACCTCCATGGATTTATGATGTGGGGAGTGAAGGGTGGGTGACCCACTGCTCGGCGGGGCAGGGGGGCATTGTCACAAGCTTGGCATCCTCCTCCAGGTTTATGGACGCAAAATTAAAACAATCTCAGTGAAACCTAAGCATTTTTTATTCCAAGTGGAAGAGACAGAGGAGCGATTGCTATCAAGTGACTGGTGTTGGCCCTTGGCAGCCATAGAATTAATTTTCTTTCATTCGAAATAATCCCAACCCTACCTTTCCCCCAGAGCAGATAATGACCAAAGGCTGAGAATGGGGATGAGGGAGACAAACAGGGACTGAGAAAGACTGGTATGGTGAAGGCCCTGGGGACCTATAGGAATCTGATGTTTTGGGGAAAACTGATAAGGTCCTTGGGGGAGCGTAGAGAGTAACACAGGCGAACAGGTGTAACCACAGAAAATGGAGTGAGGCACTAGGGAGAGAAGGTGTGCTCACACGTTACAGGAATCGAAGGCATTTCAACCACCTCCTTTAGTTCTTGTGCTAACACCGGATGGCTGAATATATATGAATATGCCCGTTCTGAGCACTGCTCTGAAACGCGCCAGCTTCAACTCAAAGCCCAAGGTCATTTGATCCTCTGTGACCTCCGTGAGGTCTGTGATCCGGAGCAAATGGCTTTCTCTCTCACACACACGGCACTTAACGAGTTGCTGTGACATTTCAGGGCAGAGGTTCTCAGATTTGGGGATTTCACAGAACCGTACATTGTTTTCAATTATGCAGTGGACATAGGGTTACCAACATTTCACCTTGTCAACTAAGACTAATATTCTTATTTGACAACACCCCTGCTTAATACAAAGAAACAAAACTCTACTAGAAACACCCACCTTCCATCCACTACTGTCACTGCTCCCTAACAGAAAGGATCTTCAGCATTGAAAACATCGGGAGGAAATAAATACTTGGAATAAAGATCAATCAGGTGTGCTGAACACACTTAGATTTATGAAAAGCCCTTTACATGATTCTTACTTTTTTCATTTCACCAGAGGCTGTAAAAGTTCATCATGGAATTCACCACTGGCTTAGAGCATTCTGGAAGCTCACGTCAATCTTACAGTTCCTCTCCGTGCGAAGCTCTAAGAGCATTCTGGAAGGTCACATCAGTCTTACAGCTATTCTCTGTGCTAAGCTCTATCAGGTACATAGGATTCCACTGGGTTCTCACAATAACTCATTTGTGCAAACAAGCAATCTAAAATGTAGAGAAATTAGGAAAGTAGCCCGAGGTTGCACAGGTCATTGTCTCACGCTTCATGAGTTGAGCCCTGCGTCGGGCTCTGTCCTGACAGCGTGGAGCCTGCTTGGGATTCTCTCTCTCCCTCTCTCTCTCTGCCCCTCTTCCACTCATACTCTCTGTCTCTCTTTCAAAATAAATAAATACATTTTAAAAATAAAATAAAATTCTGTCACTTACTTAAGTCTCCCCCATACATTCTCCCTTTCACCAGTTTACTCAAGAAATCAGTTGGTAAAAATGGTGTTAAAAATCTACTGATGTATTTGTTGGGGTGCCTGGCTGGCTCAGTCGGTGAAACATCAGGCTCTTGATCTCAGGGTTATGAGTTTGAACCCCACGCTTGGTGCAGAGATTACTAATAAAAGCTTAAAAAAATCTGTTGTATTTGTTGAGAGAGAGAGAAAGAAAAAGAGAGAAAAAGAAAGAAAGAGAGAAAGAGAGAGAAAGAAAAGAAAAGAAAAGAAAAAAGAAAAGAAAAAATCACACCAAATCCTCTACCTTCAGATCATCTAGGTTTGATGGGAGGGGGCCTGGTTTGAGAGAAGAGACACCAGTTTGTCCAGAAAAGCTGTTTTTGACAGGAGACAAAGGGGTATTGCTCAGTGGTGCTGAAGTGGAGTTTGGATTTCTGACCATCTGTTCGTTTGGTTCCCTGAAAAGCAAACAACAGAAAAGGGCCCTTAAAACATGGCCAGATACACATATGGGGGTGTGATACTGTGATGTACAATAAGAAATTACATATTTGGCCCTCTACCCTCTTTCTGGCACAGAGCTCCTAAAATCCTTAGAATTTCTAAGTGAGAGGAGCCCCAAAGGTGCCACTTGTTATGTTAAGGAGGCGACTTGGTGAAAGCCCCTGGGTCACCGAAGGGTGGGGGCCGATTGCCTGAGAACCAACCCTATGATTTGTGGTTGGAATTTTAGTCCCACCCCCTGAACTCTGAGGAGACAAGATGGGGGCTCAAGGTCAAGCCATTCACCAACGGCCAATGATTTAATCAGTCATGCCTGTAATGAAGACTCTATAAAACCTAAAAGAATGGCGTTCAGAGAGCATCCACGTTGGCGAACACGTGGAGAACGAGGGGGAGTGGAGGGGGCAGGAAGTTCCTCACCCTTTCCCACATCCCTTGCCTTGGGCATCTCTTCATTCTGGCTGCTTCTGAGTTCTATCCTTTTACAATAAACCAATGATCTAGTAAATAAGGTGTTTCTCTGATTTCTGTGAGCCACTCCAGCAAATTAATCGAACCCAAGGAGGAAGTCATGGAAGCCTCTGACCTATAGCCGGGTCAACCAGAAGCCCAGGTCACAACTTCTAGACTTGCAATTGGTATCTGAAGCGGGGGGAGGAGGCTGGAAGTCTTGTAGAACTGAGCCCTTAGCCTGTGGGATCTGATGCCATGTTTAGGTAGACAGTGCCAGAATTGAGTGGAACGGTCGGAGCTTGGCGATGTGGGGAAAGCCTCCCCAGCACATTGGAACTGGGTGGCCGGAACCCTGATTGGGCAACTTGCATTGAGATCAGGTCACAAGCTAATTGCCGGCAAGGATCGGGCAACTAATAAATCGGCAGAAGAGGCTGGGTGAGGAAGACAAGAGTACAGGCTCCATGACACGTGGCAAGTGAACTCCGGCTGAGTTCTGGGGAGACAGGAGGGAGTGGTAGAGACTTTGGCCGAGGGGAGAGGACGTGTCCGCCTATGGTTGAGCAGGTGCACTGTCCCGTGGGGGCACCATCACGCCTTGTAGAGCATGACTGTATTCAGCACTCAGCATCATTGCCAACCTGATCGGATGCTGAACAGAGACAGGTGAGGGAACCTATGTCCCACCTGTAGAGTTGAAAGGGATGCCCATTTAAACGGTGACCCACAGTGAGGTCACACGCCCCCATCAGGGTCCAGGAGTCCATCTTCGGGGGCTGTTACTGAGTCGCTCAGCGCTGTTGCTTCCTAAAGCATAAGGGCTGAGTGAATTCAACCAACCGTTCTTATGGGGGCACCTGGGTGGCTCAGTCTCTTAAGCGTCGACTCTCGGTTTTGGCTCAGGTCACAATCTCGTGATCGTCAGTTCGAGCCCCACGTCGGGCTCTGCGCTGACAGCGTGGAGCCTGCTTGGGATCCTCTCTCTCTCTCTCTCTCTTTCCTCCCTGCCCCTCCCCTGCTCTCTCTTTCTCAAAAATAAGTGGATAAGCTTAAAAAAAATCAATTATTAAAAAACAAAACAAAACCATTCTCGCGTGGTTTCTCCTCTCTGTTTCACCATTCAGTCTGAGAGTGCTAATCCCTTCTCTTGTCCCGGTTCCCTTCACCGGGGCACTGATTTCTTTGCTTCCTCCCAGACTCAGGTTCCTGAAGACGTGGGCACGGGTTCTCCACGGAGTCCCATTCTACACCCACCTGACGAGGACCCGGTACAATCCGGGACTCACGGGGCATCCCGGTGCCGGCCCGGCAGGTGCCTCAGACACGCACAAGCCCTCGCCAGCTGACCTCTGCCCATGGCCTCCACCCCCCGCCAGGCTCTCCCGACTTACTTGAGCTGAGCTTGGTGAATCCCAGGGTAGCTGAGCCGGTGCTGTTCCTGCTGGCTGAGGATTTGGAGCTGTAGAAACAGCTGTTGCTGCTGGAGCAGCCGGGCGTAGGCCGAGTCCATGGGCGGAGGCGACTTCTCGGCCTTCTGGTCTGGGGGGATGTACTGGTGATATTTGAGCTTCTTCACCTTGGGCTTGGGGTCCTTGGGCTTTTTGTGGCGGTTCTTACTGTCGCTCAAGGACTTGGACTGCAGAGGGGGGTGGAGAAACGGCACGTGCTTTAGGGGGTGGGGGTGGCTTGACGTCATGGGTAGATCACGAAGGGGGTCTGTTTGATGGGCTTTCTCGGATCCCACAAATACAACACAGCAGAGGCACCATGCACAGAGATCCTGGGGCATTAAGGTGTTTATCCAACAGAACTACTACAGGTGCATCACTCTAGGAGGGTCGTGAATCTTGGAAGGGGCTCCAGGAGCATTTCCTTCCCAGCGCAGAGGAAGATGTAAGTAAGCCTATGTTTTGGTGAGGAGGCTTCCCTAAGCTAAAACCAACAGGGGGTCTAAGAAAGGATACGATCTCGGGGCGCCTGGGTGGCTCAGTCAGTTAAGCGTCCGACTTTGGCTCAGGTCAGAATCTCACGTTTTGTGGGTTCGAGCCCCACGTCAGGCTCTGTGCTGACAGCTCAGAGCCTGGAGCCTGCTTCGGATTCTCGGTCCCTTCTCTCTCTGCCCCTCCCCAGCTCGTGCTCTCGTCTCTCTCTCTCTCTCTCTCTCAAAATCAAATTTAGAAAAACTATTTAATAAAAAAAAGAAAGGATACGATCTCATCTTGAGATGGAGTCATAAGAAAGTTCCTTCAAATGTGTACCCGAAATCAAGTTTAGTAAAGCGCTTCAGTAAATTGACTTACGAATCACATCACTTTGGGGGCTCCTGGGTGGGTCTGACTTGGCTCAGGTTATGATCTCAAGGTTCATGATTTTGAGCCCTGCATTGGATTCTCTTTCTCCTCTCTCTCTGCCCCTCCCCTGCTGGTTTTCTCTCTCTCTCTCTCTCTCTCTCTCTCTCTCTCTCTCAAGATAAATATATACACTTAATAGAAAAGTAACATCATCCTGGATGAAATTAAACCTGTCCTCAAAAATCCACAATGTGGATTTTTGCTGCTTTGGGTGAAAAAGTAAGATAGAGTCCCCTTTCCACCAATACTTTCCCCAAATACTGATATAAGGCCAGGAAGTGACACCTTCTGGAATAATGATTCTTGACTTACCGTGAGAAGGGTTAACCACCCACGGGGACCCTTCTAGAAGCTACCCATCGCGGCACATGACTCAGACGCACCGAAATGAGTTAAAGCTACAGGCTAGGAAGCTACGACAAATTTCTGAACATGGTACAATTACTTTGCCACATCTCTGTTACTTTCCCCTGAAAGTTGGGGAAAATGTTCTTCGTTTTCCTCTCAGGGACCAATGCAAGGACGCTGAAAGATACCAGTGAAATAGTAACAGGTCTCAAAAGGACACTGTGATTATGCCTATAACCTGCAAAAGGTAGTCCGTACAGTGATCAGCTGAAAAAAAAAAATCTTAACTTTCAAGCCCTGACTTTATTACAGAAGATTGAAACGGAGAACGGGGAAGTCACGGTAAAAGCATCCTGAGGCTTTGGGCAAACTGTGCAGGGGAAGTGTAGTACCAGCGGTGTCCAGAAGAGGGGGCTCCCAAATAGCCGGCAGGCAGGTTCCCACTGGGCAGTGTCCCCATTTTAACCACAAAGCACACATCTGAAAGCGTCCCATCGGAAGGAGCCTACAACTTGCAAGTCTCTGAGGCCACACGTCCCACCACCGAAGCCCCTTCGGTGTTTTCTCAAGGTGGCTTCTTCTCTCGGAAAGTCATAGCTAATGAGAACAAGCATTCCCCTGTGCTGCGTGGCGCCATTTCTCCTTAATCGATTAGCATTCTAATTAATCAATCAGCCTTCTGCACTGGGAGAATTTCTGCAGGGCTCCTGCAATCAGCTGGGCCCTGCTTTGCTCCAGCCCGGCTTCTGTTCCCACCTCGTCCTGGGACTCTGCAAGCCTGGTCTTGCCGGTAAGTCAGGGGTGGGGAACTTTTTCTCCAGGCCACTGTTGTACAGGGACTCGAAACATTCCGGAAGTTACTCAAATTGGACCATTTTCTCTGGAGAGTGGAGGGCAAAGGCTATTGTCCCCCACGGAACTCTGACTCCATGGAACTGTATAGTTTCATACTTTTTGGAAGCCAGAACATCCTGAGGTCGTAAGTTCATTTTTCTTTCTTTCTTTTTTTTTTTTT